CTCTTTTTTTTTTTTTTTTTTTTTTGTGCTACGCGGGCCTCTCACTGCTGTGGCCTCTCCCATTGAGGAGCACAGGCTCCGGAGGCGCAGGCTCAGCAGCCATGGCTCACGGACCCAGCCGCTCCAAGGCATGTGGGAACTTCCCGGACCGGGGCACAAACCCATGTCCCCTGCATTGGCAGGTGGACTCGCAACCACTGCGCCACCAGGGAAGCCCCATTACTGCCTCTTTTAAATAACCAAGGAGGTACAAACAAACGAGTACATAATTTTTAGCAAGAAAAAAATGACATTGCTGTTTAATCAGATTATGTCTCTGGGTACCCAGCACGTACCTGCTCGCTATGGAGTCACTTAAACATTTCCCCTCCTGGTTGTAGAAGTCATGTCTCTCTCTTATGGAAAATGTAGGAGTTGAAAGCAGGAAATGACCCCCAGTCCTTTTTCCTTCAGACCAACCCTTAGCAAATCCCTGTCTTCAGCTGTGTCTATAGTTTCTGCTGCCCCCCACCCCGCCGCAAAGTCATGTTTGCCTGAATTTAATAACATTTCTCCTCTAGACTTGTCTTCATTTTCAGGTTTTCATTATGCAACCCGTATTGCAATTATTTCAGAAAATAAAAGCAACTTTTAAAAACGTGGCAATAAACTGTCTCACCCATCCTCATGCAAAACATTCAGGAGTGGACTAAGGGAAGTCCAGGTCTTCTTTCAGACCCTCGGAATCAGCCTATTCTAACCTATCCTGCCTAGAAAATGGGTGGGTGACCTTTTTTAAACTTTCTTCATTGATCCAACAGGGGACCTGCCTCAACATCTTCAAGTAATGATCAACCTTCTGCGTTGTGAAGATAGAATCAAGCTGGTAAGAAGAGACGCGAGTGGCAAGTTTTAATTTTTAATTGTGAAATTTGGTAGGGACTTTTTGACGAGCAGGGGCTTGGGGGGGTGGGGCTCTTACATCAGAGCAAGTTCTCCCAAACCATTCTCAAAAGCCAAAGCCCGCTCTGCTCCTCGGTACCCAGAGGTGCAGACAAAGGGGGTGTCAGGTCTCTGGGTCAGTCTGTGCTAAGCTGGAATCATCATTCACTGGAATTCATTTGTTAACCCCTTTAACAAACTTTGGGGGTCTCCTCTGAGCCAGGTACCATCCTTCATGCTGGGGATATAAACGAGACGTAGGAGTTTTCATCTAAATTCCTAAACTCACGGGGGAAAGGTAGAAACAAAAGTCTTTGGTCTTGGATTGGTGAAGGAAAGGGGTGACCATCTGGCAAGGCAGGCCAGTAAGAGCATCTCTGCCTGTCTAGGCTGTGCGCTTGGAGAGCGCCTGGGCTGAGCGGGCCCGCTACATGGTGGTGGTGGACAGCAGCGGGCGCCAGGACACGGAGGAGAGTATCCTGCTGGGAGTCGACTTTTCCAGTAAGGAAAGGTGAGTCTGATGGACGGCGGCTCCTTTCTCTGATGGGGGCAAGAGTTGCTTCTGGAAGAAGGTTTTCAGGGTCCCACATCCACGGGGGCTGGTGATGGTAGGTGATGGGGTGATCAGGCACTGGGAACGGTGGAGCCCCTGATTTTAGCTCTTGTGTGCCGAGTGCTGTGCGAGGTCCAGTCTCTGCTCTCAGAGAGCTCAGGGTCCGCACTGTGCTTAGAGATTTAACCCTGGGTCCTATCGGGTGCCCTAGAGGAGGGCACCTTAACCAGGAGGGCTTCCTGAAGGAGGTGACGGCTGTGGCGAACACCCCAGGACAAGCAAGAGCCAGCCAGGTAAAGCAGGAAGGCGCCCTCCAGGCCGACCATCCCATGTAGAAGTATGTGATCGATCGGCGTTGTATCGAGCACCTTATGCCGTATTCATATCCCGTGGATTCCCAAGTACTTGTTGATGGGTCCTGGGTCAGAGGCTTGAGGAGAGGTTTGGGATTTCCCAATAACTGGAGGCCAGGTTAGTTATATCATAGACCCTGTTATGTGTGCGAAATGAAGGTGCACGACTCTCCTTACCTCTAGGATAAGTTAATGCGAGTGAGCTCATTGCAGAACCTGAAGTTGTTAAAACTGGATTAAAGTAGACGCCCTTTATTCATCATTCATTAATTTGCTCGTTCATTAAGCAAACCATTCATTTGCCTTCTCCTGTGTATGAGGCAGTAGGCTCAGCCCAGGAAAACAGAGAAGCAATAGTAACCACGGTTCTCGGCCTCAAAGAGCCTGTAAGCTCAGGGATGGAGGGAACCATCACCAGAACCTGGGGTGACGGGCCCAGTGATGGGGAAGTGTGGGGTTCGTTCCACACTCGTGGCCAGGACTCCACTGCTTGTCACAAGTAAATGAACTAAAAGGGAAGGTGTTTCCTTTATGACCTCGTTCCCAGTACATAGGAGCATTCTGAGTGAGTTTCTGCAGCTCACTTAGGGACATGAGTCCAAGCTGGCGCCCGTAGCCTCAGCTGGTGGGGAAGTCTGGATCTGGAAGGACCTGTGTCAGGATGTGCTTTAAGGGGTGAGCTCCGAGGAGCCCCTTGGAGACGACAGGGCTCCGGGCTCCAGGTTGGGGTGCTCCCAGGCAGGTGCCCTCAGAAGTGGCCGGGGCTCCGTCCGTTGGTCACGCGGCAAAGAGACGTTCAACGGTGTTACGGTTATGTTTGTTCTTGGAGTGGCTGGCCGGCCTTTCTGAGGGCCTTTGGGGGCAGGACTTCCCCCACCATGTGTCATCCATCCCAGCAATGCTCTCTGGCCCTGAGCTGGAAGCTGCCTCCCTGGAGAATGTGCCCATCGTCTCAGCCCGAGCCACCAGGGCCTCATAGGAGGCTGCCCCCCGCCCCCTCCAGGTCATCTCCGTGGCTTTGCTCAGAGAGCACAGAGCAGTTAACCCGCTGCTTCATAAGCATCTCGCCCCGTGGGGTAGGCGGTCCTATGACTCGTGTTTTACAAACAAGGAGTCAGAAGCCCAAGAGGCTGGAGTGGTTACACCAAGGCCGTCCTAGTAACAGAGCTGGGACTCACAACTGGGTTTTTATTGTAGACCTGTGGTGTAGACCCACTCATTCCTTTCCCATTCGTTGTCCCCTGTGCCCCCTCATTCACCAATCTGTTCATACCGTCACGGGGCGTGCCCTTGTTCGCACACGCTTTCAGTGTGCCAGGTGTCCTGCCAGGTGTCCTGCCAGGTGCCCTGCCAGGCGTGGGGGCTACATCAGTGGGAGAGACCGGCCTCTGCTCCCTTGGAGCTCACAGTCTAGATGGACGAAGGTTAGACACACGAGCACCCTGAGACCGTTCTTTACACACAGGCCCACGTGCTCATTCTCACCCACTCTCTGAAGCGCCCTGCCCCTCCTCTGCCCGCTGGGCACCAGCCTCAGTTCTCAGCGTGTCCCCGCTCCCTGGGTCCTCTCGCCTCTGCTGCACACTCTGCGCTCAGGCCAGCGTCCCCTCCGCTGTCCCAGCCTGCGCCACAGCCCAAGCACAGGTGCCAACTCTAAGGCCAGTGCTGGTCTCCTGTGCTGGGGACATGGGTCAAGAGGCTTCAGAGTGTGAGCGGGAACCACATGGACCTTCCTGTTGTCGGGCCGGATGCAGCGTCCCCCACGCCCAGGCATAGGGGCCGGGAACTGGGCGCTTTTATCCATCTCCAGCTTGAAAACAAAGCCCTCGTCCTTACAGAAGCCTTTGGCCTGCTGAGAGCATGATACATTTGTTTTTCTAAATTCCTGCCATGAGATTTTGTTTCCTTATTCAAAAAAAGAGAGAGATGAGGTGCCCCCAAAAGGACTCCCCGCGAGGAGAGGGGGTCCAAATGCAGTGTCAGGAGAGAGCATGGGATGACGCCAGCCACAGCGGGCTCACGGGTTCTCCCCTGGAGTCACATCTACACATGCTTCCTCTGGGGATCAGAGCAGCTGCCCTGCAGGGGCCATCTGGGGTTATTTTGTTTCAGATTCGGGAACACCGTGGGTGCTGTGAGCACGAACACCGTCCTCCACTTGTTAGTGTTCTGCAGCCCGTAAAGGACAGGCCTGTCTCCTTCCTACACCTCCAGCCCCCGCGCAGGCCCTGCCCGCTTCTCTGTCCCTGCCGCACCGGCCCTGGGGACCGGGGACCGTTTCCTTCCCCTAGAGGTACCCCCACCCACCCGTTTTATCCTTCAGGGCTGTGCTTCCTCTAAGAAGACCCAGTTTCCCTGACCACGTGTCCCGTCCCCACTTCCCATATATATAAACCCACAGGCCCTCCTTCACTGTAAAAATCTCACTGTCACTCATTACAGGACTAGTGGAGACTCACAGCAATAACAGATAAGGGGACGTGATGGAATTGGCACAGTTGTTACAGTCGTGTCCTGGTCTCTGGTCTGCACTCTTGACTCCAGGTTGAGACCCTGAGCGGAAGTCTTCCGTGGCCTTCTGCCCACCGTGTGTAGCTCTCACCAGGCTCTTCCCCATCTCTGCACTTACCGGAGGAGGGCAGTTTAGATGCTGCCCTGGTTTCCTAAGGACCGTTTCGTCTCCGCCTGCCACGGACCTGGGCCTGTGGCTCCCCAGTCTGTGCTCCATGTAGCTCTCTGTGCCGTTTTCTCTCCTCATTTCCAGTCCCTGGTGTGGGTCGTCGGTGCTGAAAAAGGGCGAGTGTCCAGGTCTGCCCACATCCTCCCAGGGCACCCTCCAGCCTGGGCTTTCTACACGTCTGTCTTGGGCTCCCAGCGGCCCCCTTCTTGCCTCTCCCCAGTGCGACACAGCTGAGTAACCCTGGGAGCTCTGAGTCTCAACGTCAATTTTATTTTGCAGCTCTACAAAGGAAATATCATTAACCCATCAAGAATGGGTAGGACAAATGTGAACTAGTTAGCTAGTGAGAAGGAGCCGCATCGCACAGGGAGATCAGCTCGGTGCTTTGTGACCACCTAGAGGGGTGGGATAGGGAGGGTGGGAGGGAGACGCAAGAGGGAGGGGATATGGGGATATATGTATACATACAGCTGATTCACTTTGTCATACAGCAGAAACTAACATAACATTGTAAAGCAATTATACTCCAATAAAGATGTTAAAGAAAAAAGAATGGGTAGGACTGCAGGGTGGCACCAGAGAATTGGCCCAACACAAAAGGCTCAGCCCACTTTGACCCAAAGGGCTTGAAACTACCTTCCCCACAGATACAGAAGCAGAGGGTGGAAAGGCCCCCCGTGGCTGCCGAAGCTCTGGAGGGAGAGTGGGTGCCTTGAGCCCCAGAGCCGCCTGTGTGCACAGTCGCGTGTGTGTAACTGTACTCCCTGGGGGGCCGTCAGGCGGTAGCAGAGATGTCAGCACAGGATCCCTGGAGATTGTCTGAGCTGCCCTTGGCAGTGACGGCTGTTTCTCACGAGCAGACTCTTTTTCAAATGCCTGAAGAGTTTTCATAGTGATCCGAGGAGACCCTCTGATAAAGCCCTTTCTTTTCCTCTGTGTTTCTCAGCGGCGCCAGGCTCTAAAGTGGTCAGGTATCATTTCACTGTTAGGATGGGCAAAACAAAAGCAGATTACACTAGTTTTTAAAACAGCAGCTGCACAAAAGGTACAGAAACAGAGGTCCAGAAGTGAACTCCAGTCATGGTGTTGGCACTCTCCCCTCCCCTGTCACTCCAGGACAGGAGGCTGGGGGTGGCTGCCACGACCTGCCTGTGTCCCCCGGACTGTGTGTGGCCTTGTGCCAGGCGTGTGCCAGCCATCAGCGGCTTCAGCCCTGCTGCAGTGTGGGCGTGTGGTCAGCTGGTTACTCCTGGCCCCCGAGAGCCGCAGCTGAGACCTGGCATTTAGGGAGCTGCAGCCACACCAGAATGCTGGGGTCAGAGTTCCCTGTGACTGTCTCTAAGCTGGGGTCACTGGCCATCCCAGACCCACATCTTCTGGAATTCAGTGGTGAGCAGTCCTTGCAGACAGCCTTAGAGCTTCTCCCAGATACACACCTAGGCAGCTGGACGCAGGGCAGGTGGTGGGTCCCCCGTGAGCTGGACAGGCTGGGTGGAGACACAGCGAGGGAAAACCACGTGCAGGCGGGTGGACCCTAACTCTAGGCGTCTTCTCTTCCCTCCCACGTAGTAAAAGCTGTACCATTGGGATGGTTCTCCGACTGTGGAGCGACACAAAAATCCACCTTGACGGAGACGGGTAAGGAGATCTCTCAGAAGGCTTCTTTCACTGTAGACTTCGAAACATGCGTCAGTTTGGGCATCGTTGGATAATCATTAACAGCAGAGTCACACGTGTGACATTTTTACCACATCAGGAGAAATAACATTGCCCTCCCATGAGCCACACAAGGCAGGGTACATTCGGGACATGATATAAGGGAGTTGGGTCACGAAGTGCCAACAGAAACATTTACGGGATATCTGCTGCTGTATGAAGTTCAAGAACAGCAGTGAACAGACATTCATCCGTTTGCCTTGATTTGTTAAATGGACGCTCGCTGTGTGCCCTCCATGGGCTGGTCCCTGCAAGTTCGCAGATGAGTATGATGCAGCAGGAGCGCCAAGGCTTTGAGGGCTGCAGGGAAGACACACAACCAGCAGGTGCAACAGTGTTTGAGATGCCATTTGGGGGGCTGCAGAGGAGGACTCATCCAGGTGGGCCTGGGCAGGTAGACCAGGGCCAGGGGGCCGTCCGGACTCTGGGGGGAAATACTCAGGTACTGTCACGAGTAGGAAGAAGCAGGAGAGGAAATTATCTCTACTTGAATTCCGACGGTAGAAGTTACGTTGCCTTGTAGATAGGACTGAGAGGGAAAGATAAAAATTAGATTTATTGACGACATGGGCTTATGGTTTACATTTTTCCTTTTTAAACTTCTGTCTTCCACTAACGTATTTCTTATGCAAGTATGAAAGACACAGATGGAGTGTGGGGGACAGGAGGTAGGGGGCGGGGTGGGACAGTGCAGGCAGGTGAAGCAAGATGGTGTCCAGTGCCGCTGCTGCCTCGCACCCTTTGCTGGGCTTTTAGTTTTGGGCTGACTTTGTATTGCTGGGTTAAAAGCCAGTCTTCCGGATTTAAGAACCTATCTTTTTTTTTTTTTGGCTTTTGGCTTTTGGCATTTGCCCTTGTCTCTGTGGCCTGTGGTCCCTCATCACACAGCGTGAGACACACTTGTCCTCAGGGTGTCCACGACGGGCTGTCCCCCCCGCCGTCTGGCAGGGATGTGGTCGGAGGGTCTGACTTCTCACCACACTGTCCTTTGTTTTTCATTCTCAGTGGATTCAGCGTCAGCACGGCAGGAAGGATGCACATCTTCAAGCCCGTGTCTGTCCAGGCCATGTGGTAAGTGTGGTTTTAGGGACTTTTAACTCCTTAGAAATACTTCCCTAGCTGACGGCACAAATAAAAAACCCCCACCTACTTAGAAGCACATTTAGGTATGTTTATTTTGTGTGTGTGTGGCAAAAAATATGTATATTATTATATTATATATATAAATAAATTATTTATATATTATAAATTTATAAATTATTATATATTATAAATAACAAAATTTACCATTTTAAGGACACAATTCAGTGATATTAAGTACATTCACAGTATTGTACACCATCACCACTATCCATTTCCAGAACTTTTTCATCATTCCAAACAGAAACTCTGTACTTATTAAACAGCAATTCCCTATTGCCCCCTCCCCCAGCCCCTGGTAACCTCTTTCCTACTCTCTCCCTAGGACTTTGCCTATTCTAGGTCCCTCATATAAGTGGAATCATACAGTATTGGCCCTTCGGTATCTGGCTTCTGTCACTTAGCATAATGCTTTCAGGGTTCATCCGTGTTTAATACTTCCTTCCTTTTTAAGGCTGAGCAATACATTCATTGTATGGATGTACTACTTTCATCCATTCGTCTCCTGATGGACATTTGGGTTATTTCTACCTTTTGGCCACTATGAATAGAGCTGCTGTGAACATTGGTGGACAGAGTATCTGATTGAGTCCCTGCTTTCAGATCTTTTGGAATTTCTAGATCATGTGGTCATTTTGTGTCTAACCTTTTGAGGGACCACCAGACTGTTTTCTGTAGCAGCTGCACCATTTTACATTCCCGCCAGCAATGCACAGGGGTTCCAGTTTCTGCACATTCTAGTCAACACTTGTTACTCTTTGCTTTTTTTTTTCATAATAGCCTTATGGGTATGAGTGGTATCTCACGGTTCTGGTTTTCATTTCCCTAATTCATTAGCCTTGAGCATCTTTTCATGTGCTGATTGGCCATTTTGTATATCTTCTTTGAAGAAATGTCTATGCAAGTCCTTTGGCCAGCTCTTAATTGGGTTGTTTGGTCATTTTGTTGCTGGAGGTACCTTGTTTTTATGTTTCTACCGTCCCTGCTGACGAAATGTCATTTTAGCATAAATTCACTGGTCCCTTGTCCCTGGCGCACTGAGGGTGATCAGTTTGCTCCATGAGGGCAACAGCAATGCTCTGCTAGGCATTGAGCATCTGCGGAGGCATAAAACGGACATAATTCCTGTCCTCCTGGAGTTTAAAGTCTGGTGAGGGAGGTGGCCATAAACCCAGAGCAGAGTCCTATGTTATACTGAGGGGTGGGTGCCGGGCTGTGGGATACCTACTGCAGGGTGCAGGGGCCAGGGCAGGGTAGGGCCTCCCTGGACACCTGCATGGGGGGTGAGGTGGCTGTGGGTGAAGACTGCGTTCAACTTCCAGACCTTCTCTGAACCCGATACACATTCGAGAGCCTCCTCATCCTTGGAGGGCCGCACAGACCACTCATACAGTGGACTCCACACAGCAGTCTCCCTCAGATAATCTGGAAAAGACTCAGGAGAAAGCCAGTGGCCTCTGATGAGAAGAATTCTGCCCTCTGTTTCAAAATAATTACTCTTTTCTCCAGAACAGTGAGAGTGATGCAGGATCCTCCCACAGGCCACGCGCTAACATCGTTGCTTCGTTTTTACGTCTTCTGTTCCTGCAGTCAGTTCAGGATCATTTGGGGGGAAATCACGAACTCATCGTTCTCTAGACGTCCCAGATGTTCCTTTATGGCCCTGGATAATTTGTTATCTCTTTCTCTACGAGCGAGTCAAAAAACAGGCCCATGGGTTTTTCCAAAACTTCAGAACGAGAATAAAATTTCGTAAATATTCAGCTCAAGTTTCTTCCCTCCCCCAGTCTAGAGCTAGGACAGATGTGGACCACTGGGGAAAGTGAAGTGGGTTGCAGTGGTTTTTACCCCGTGGTTGAGCCATTGGTTCTCTGATAACTTCTCCATCCAAGGCCTCGCTCATCCACCCTTCACTGATACCTGATTCACCCCATTCAATGAGAAATACTCAGCCCATATTTTTGTAAAAAGAAGTAAACAAAGGATAAGTAAATTAGCTGTTACCAACGTATACGTTTTCAGTACTGTTTCTCCTGCCCGACTCTGCCTCCCAGAACTTCTTCTGCAGTTAGTTCTTGTGAGTGTCTCATTTCCTTACACAATCTAAGCATCTAAGCTGTTCTAACATTGATGGGAGGGAGCTAGAACTTAAGTGACTGGGAATGCAGTCACATATCTCTGCTGCATGTTGAGGATGCTTTCCTTCTAGCTGCTCGGCTGCATTGCGGGTCCCACATTCAAGGTAACCACAGCCTCAGAAGTGAATCTCAGTTCCTGGGAGTTCATTGGCGGTTGTAAAGTGACCTGGGAGCCTGCCCGATAGGGAGCGTTAGAAAGTTTTGTCGTTTCCTCGTTGGGGATGGTGACAGGCGCCGTCTCTGCTCTTGGGGTCGGTGCCTGTGTCCCAGAGACCCGCGGTGGTACCTGGCGGCCACGTGTCCCCCTCGTAACCTCAGATGTAAGAGCGACTCCAGCCCAGCTCCCCTCGTGCCTCCCGGGCCTGACCCTCTTCCCCTCCTCACCCCAGGTCTGCCCTGCAGGTCCTCCACAAGGCCTGCGAGGTGGCACGCAGGCACAACTACTTCCCCGGGGGCGTGGCGCTGCTCTGGGCCTCCTACTACGAGAGCTGCATTGGCTCCGAGCAGAGCTGCATCAACGAGTGGAACGCCATGCAGGACCTGGAGTCCACGAGGCCCGACTCCCCCGCCCTGTTCGCGGACAAGTGAGTGCGAGTGCGGAGCCTCCGTCCCCGTCCCGGTCCCCAACCCCGAGCCTGCCCCCTGACCCCGAGTCTGCACGGTGTCACAGCCCCATTGTCTCCCAGAACCAGCATCCCACGCAGGGGTTCCTGACCTGCAGCCCGTGGGTGTCTTTGGCTGGGGAAGGGTCTGACCACCGCCCCCCCCCCACCGCCTTTTAAAATGATAGACAAATTCGGGTGTGAATGCATTTCTGGGGAGCAGCTCCGTAACGTTCATCAGCTTCCCTGTACCGGTGCCCTGGTCCCTCCTCCTCAGGTCCAAGGTCTTGATTTCCAAAGCCTCTTCCTCTGCTTATAAGAGTGTGATGAATGTGATATCCGGTTCCTTGGGTCCCAAAACACAACTGCACGAAGGCAGGCCGAGGGCGGCCAGCTCTGAGGCGGCAGCGCTGCCCCACGTGGCCCGAGGCCACGCTCCATTAACTCTAGTTCCAGAAGGAGGGAGCCGCTCTCTCCTTCTCTCCTGGTTGGGACCCTCCTCCCCAGAGCATAATGTTCCTTGGGGACACCACACGTAGGAAGGCTGTGGACCGAGGGGGGCCCGCCGAATGTGGGGAGGACCGGGAGCCACGTAGTATGAGGCCTCAAGGAAACTACGAGAGCATTGGTTAGGATACATGCCTTTGAACATATGAAGGGGCGTGATGTACAAGAAGGATTGTCGCGGTCCGTGTGGCCCCAGGGTTAGAACCAGGCTGATGCGTAGAAGTTGCAGGGAAACACATAGATTTTGGTTCCGTGTAAGCGTGTAAGGAGGTAACAGGAGCCGGATGCAGCTGGGGCCATGGGCTGCCTGAAGACACAGTGATGTCCTCAGCAGAGTCTAGGGGGTCTGGGCCATGGGGATGTCGCATGGCGGTTCCAGCATCCGGCCCTGAGAGGCTGAGGCTCTCCAGACCCGCAGGACGAGTCCGCTTCCCAACCACTGTTTGCCCCCTTGGTCTGCCGTCCTCTCTGGTGGCCCCTGGGCGACTTCCCTGTCCCTCTCCCCTTCTCGCTGAGAACGTGCCCAAGCCGTGTTCCGTGTAGCCCGGGAGCAGCTGGGGTTTCTGTGAACGCCGACCGCAGGCTTCCCGTGGCTTCCCGTGGCTTCCCATGGCTCTGCGCTTTCCTGAATGTGATTTCTCTCCAGGCCAACTGAAGGGGAGAGGACGGAGCGTCTCATCAAAGCCAAACTCCGGAGCATCATGATGAGTCAGGACCTGGAGAACGTGACGTCCAAGGAAGTAAGAGCGCTTCCCTGCTGGGTGGGCCGGAGGTCATGGGCATCCCTGTGTCCTGTTGCCCTAGCGCAGCCTGGGTCGGGTAGATCTAAGAGGTTGAAGTTGCCTTTTTAAAAAGCCATATACAATCTGTTTATTAATTAGTGCATGTAAAAAAATCCTATTGTGATACCTTCCAAAGCAAGATGAAACTGCCTTTTAATGTTTTTCTCGATTACTTTTTTCTTTTTTCTGTTGCCCTTTGTCCAAGGAATGCAATGAATTGTAGTCACAGCTTAAACTACGTAGATCTAAGAGGTTGAAATTGCCATTTATAAAAGTCACGTACAATCTTTTTGTGAATTAATACATAATAAACCCTTTCGTGATACCTTCCAAAGCAAGGTGAAATGGATTTTACGTTTTCACGGTGATAGATTTGATAACTGGAAAAGCGTAAGTTTTTTCAACTCAGTAGAAAAGATCCCAAGGGAATCAAATTCCTTCTTTCAAATAATAAACGTCCCATAGTCAGGTTCACATTGAGGCCGAGTAGCCTGCATTCCCACCACCCACGCGTGTGTGCAGCGTGTTTAAGTGCACATGTGCTTACTCTGAAAAAAGCCCAAAAAACACTTTTGAAAACAGTCATAGTTCATGTTGTGACTTTATTACTTCTTTGGAGAAACTGTTTTTTGTTTTTTGTTTTTGTTTTTTTTTAAACAAACGCCCTTTCCTAATATTTTCCACTCCGCAGATCCGTAATGAATTAGAGAAACAGATGAACTGTAACTTGAAAGAATTCAAGGAATTCATAGACAACGAGATGCTCCTTATCTTGGGACAGATGGACAAGCCCTCCCTCATCTTCGACCACCTTTATCTCGTAAGAGGCACAGCGCACGGCAGGGTCTGGTTTGGGAAACGTAAATCAGACCGTGATTTGTTTGGAGTTTGCAGCAAGTCATAGAGGGGGAGAAACTTGAGTTCCTGGAGCCTCCGTCCTGACTTTTACGGGAACTCCCCTCTTGACCCCTTTTCTCTGGCCTGCAGCCTACGGGTTTGCTCGAGAGCCAGATGTTTGCGCCGCAGCTCCCAGCTGAGCTGCGGGGAGTTGTTTGAAAGCTCTCTGGCTGGCAACCGTTTTCAGATGCACACCACCCTCCACCTTCATCGGTCACTAACAGAAACCCCCTCCAGATGGTCTGCGAACTAAAAAAACCCCAGTTACTAAAGGGAACACCCGCGCCTAACCCCAGAATTATGCCTCCTCGTCCCGAGACATGAGAAACAGCAGAGGAGACAGACCAAACGCCTGAAACGCAGCATCCCTCCCCCACACCCCCGCTTGTCCCCAAGCTGCCCCCTGCCCTGCTCCCAGAGCCCGTGGAGGCAGCAGGCCCTGCTGACACAGCCGGCGGGGCCTGCACATCCCTCTCTTCACTCCGTCCCTCAGTCAGATTTTCTTAAAGCTGTAAGTCTCCATAGAAGGCAGCTGGCAAGTTTTCAAAGTCAGGGGGTTATAGAGGAAGGCACGCTACTAGTTAGTGAGGCAGCACGGTGCGATGGAAACCGGACCCACCCAGCAGGTTCCCACTCCCCAGCCTGACCAGCCAGGTGCCCGGGGGCAAGTCTCTTGGCCTCTCCTTTCCTTCATCCTGTACCTCAGGGGATGAATATGAGGATTAAGTTAGTACACATTTAAAGCACTGAGTGCGGTTTCCATAGGCACTCAAAAATGGTACCCATCGTTCGAGCAGGAATCACATCCTTGGAAAGTCCAGGACGTGTATTTGCTGCCAGAGGCATGAATGACTGTGTTTTCTGCCTGTAGGAAGTAATCAGTAGTTCCCCAAATGTGTATGTCATGGTACATATTTAACGTATTAAATATATATTTAACGCATTTATATATATATTGATCTATATACATAGATCTATAAATGTTCAGTGTATATATATTTAAATGTGTATAGATGTGTGGATTTGAAGCCTGAATCTTGAAAGCAGCCCCGGCTCTAAATCCTCTCTGGGAAGTTGATTGTTTTCCCTGGTGGACACAGAACTGAAGGCGCCTCGGCCCGTCTCTCCACTAGGTGGTGATCACAGCAAGAGGATGCTCACAGGCTTAGCAGAGCTTTTGTTATTTTTTCAGTGTGGTTTGGTGCTTTATGTCACTTTTTCCATGAGAGATACTAAAGGAATTTTTATGTTTGAGCCTCTCCCTCCAATATGAAAATCCAGCTAGTGCCCACATGCTGCCAGCTCCATCGGGGCCCCTGCAGCCCCTGCATCTGGAGCCGTCCACCCTCTCGGGAAAGGAAGCTTATAGGGAGACCAAGAGGGTGCTTTTGCTTTGTGACTCTGTGTCGATTGCATTTCCTAAGAGCAAAGTGATGTTTTTTTCTTGGTTTTTCCCTTCTGTGTTCTTTGCCTGCTCAGAAATGGGGGGTTTTGGGTTTTTTTTAAATACCATTTTTAAAGTATGAAGTTAAAACATGTTACAGAAAGTTAGGAAATATAAGTTGAAGGAAGAAAATTTAAAAGCATTCTCAATTTCACAAATCCAGAGGCAGTCACTGGTAACACTTTGGTATGTTTGTTTTTCTATCTAATGGGTTTTTTTTAAATGCATTTATAGCTTCTTAAAAAAGACAGAGAAAGAAAAGGAAAGAACTGTACTGTTTGATTATATAGTTTTGTATCCTGCTTTAAAAATTTTTTTTTCGTTACGTGGTATTTCCCTGTGTCATTAAATATCCTCCAAAAGTACGATTTATTTTAACGGCTCCATCATATGATCTCTTCTTGTCGGACCTTTGGGTGGTTTCTGCTGTTTTGTTATAAATAACCGTAAATATCCTTGTACATATACCTCTGTGAATTCTGGGTGTTTCCTCGGGGTAGCTTTTTGTAAGTGGAATTTCTAGGTCAGAGGGTGGGAACTTTTTTAATATTGCCAAATACTTCCCAGAAAAGGTAAACCAATTCCTGCTCTAATCAGTGGTATGTGGAAGCGCCCTCTCCCGCGTGGGAGGTCAGAGGTCACTGCCTCTGGTGACAGGACCCTGCTGGAGTCTTAGGAAAGGGAGTGATGAGAGGGGGCAGGGTTTCCTCGACCAGCCCCTTTCCCTGACAGTGCCACGAACTCCTGGGGAACCTGCTCTGATACCGGCCTCTTTGTATCAGCTCTCTTATCGGCCTCTGAGTCCAGGGGCCCATGAGATAGCCATCACCGTCAGGGCTAGCGCACACCGTGCATCCCGTAAGCAGCTCTGAGGCTGACGTGTGACACTCACGGGGGTTTGTGTGATCTGTCCCCCAGGGCTCTGAATGGAATGCATCCAATCTGGAGGAACTGCAGGGCTCAGGGTGAGTCTGCTCCCCTTGTCTTCCCTCATCCTTCCAGGCAGCTTAGAAACACTCAGCTCAGCCGTCCATTCGAAGCCGAGCCCTGGCGCTGCCTGCCTGCCTGGAATTGCCCACCCCAGTCTCCAAAGCAGCTGCCAGCCTGATTTGCATAGCTAAACAGATGTGCTTCAGAATGCCACCTCCTGAATAATTCATGGGTTTTAGATTTTACTGGGGTTTAGAAATGTGTGTGTCAGGGAGAATGATTCTAAATCACCCTCAAATAGTATAGGACAGCCTGGGTGCTGATGTGGCCACGAGTCCCCCCCCCGCAGCCCCCTGCCCTGCAGAGATGCTGAGAGCACCAGTGTGGACACACTTACCGGTGGGCCAGTCAGCAACCCTGCTCCCCGGACCACTCCTGGTTCTCTCTGTGGTTGTACTTTTGAGCCTGGTGGGAATCTTGCAGCTAAATGCTCAGCGTTGGCCAGAAACACATGCCTGTCTCAATCCGAGAAAGACTCGGCAGCAGGGATAAAAAATGCTTAAACCTAGACCTTCAAGAACAGATGTCTGGACATTTTTTAAAAAAACAACACAGCCACAAAATCACCATCCTGTGGGTCTGACATGATGGCATTTTTGAATTACTGCATTTAAAAGTCAAGACTAAACAAAATCTTAAAATATATCTTTAGAACTACTGGTTAAGATGTGTTCTTTCAAGAGAAAGTGATCTTAAAGTATAGGGTGATGCTGTCCATGCTTTATCTTGCTGGGAATAAATAAATGATTTTAAAGGTTTTTCTTTTTTTTCCAAAGCATTTATAAGTATTGCTCTTATGAAATCTATTTGAGGTGTTTTCAAACTCCTGAAGTTATATTGGTCTTCCAGGAATGTAAGTATTAAGGTTAGAGAACTATAGAACCTGAGTTAGCTGCGTTAGCAGACCCTCCCAACTATTTATTTATTTACAGCCTGCCTTGTTTCAAAAAGGAGTTAAGGCAGTTCCCAAGGACATAAAAAATGGATGGATATATTCAGGTTTTTAACTACTCAAAAGTGGAGACGTTGGTTTTATTTATTTATTTATTTTTCTTTTGCTGTATGCGGGCCTCTCACTGTTGTGGCCTGTCCCGGGCCTCACGCTGTCGTGGCCTCTCCCATTGCCGAGCACAGGCTCCGGACGCGCAGGCTCAGCGGCCATGGCTCACGGGCCCAGCCGCTCCACGGCATGTGGAATCTTCCCGGACCGGGGCACAAACCCGCGTCCCCTGCATCGGCAGGCGGACTCTGAACCACTGCGCCACCAGGGAAGCCCTGGTTTTATTTTACTTTTTTAAAAGCCTCTGTATACTCGTAATAGTTACGAATTTTGAAACTTCAAAGGAGTTAAGAAGTGTATTTAGGTGATACGTGTGATTACTTTCCAGAATCAACGTTACTCAGCAATGCTTTGGGTGGAGCTTTCTTTTTATAAGTTTTTTAGGCAGAAATTTGTTTTTTATCATAAATATAATGGATTCTCATCATGTAGAGGGTATTTAGAAGATACCAAAAAAAACCCCAAAGACCACCACTATGAAGTCCTGCCATAAAAACACAGACCCTTTATAAATGTGTATTTAATCTTTTCTCTGCTCAGTTTGTCGTTACTTTGGTTTTTGTCGATCCACGTTCTGATTCTCCAATTTGTTCTTTTTTTTTTTTTCTCATTGCAGTGTTGACTACATTTTAAACGTCACTAGAGAAATAGATAATTTTTTCCCTGGCTTATTTGCGTATCATAACATCCGAGTCTATGATGAAGAGACCACAGACCTCCTCGCCCACTGGAACGAGGCGTACCATTTTATAAACAAAGCAAAGTAAGTGGGCGGAGAAGTCAGAGAAACCAGGCTGGGGAAGAAGCTGACCGGCAGCCGCAGGGTGGGCAGACATTAATGGTGACCCCAGATACAGCTGCCTCCTGGCTTGAGGGGCCTGTGACGTCTGATGGGCCTCTGGTTTTAGAGTGCTGGACCCCAAGCATCGAAAGGGCCAAGTCATTGATCTTCTCCAGGGGTCCCCAAATGAGCTCGTTCTCTTTCACCTGCCATGACATTTGACCCCCGTTTCGTCATTAGCACTGGCTGCAGGCAAGGCCCCCGTACCAAGCGGACACTCTTGGGAGCTCTGTGCGTGGGGAGTCGCAGAGCCAGAGGAGAGAGGAGGGCGGGCAGATCGTACATGACTCAGAGCACCTTTGGGGCTGCTTCCCTGGAGAAATCTACTCAGAAATCTACTCGGGCAGATGCCCTGAGCTGTGGCCCACCTCCACCTGAGTTAGTGTGACTCCTGTTCACGTAGAATGGGATGGACCATCAGAGGTCCCCATTGCCCCGAGCCTGTCACTGCTGTCACGTGTCTTTTGTCCTCACCTTATTCTCCTGTGGAACAGCTGTGTCTCACTGAAGTCAGGACCAGAAAGAGACAACTCTTTGAGATGCTCTCAAGAGACACTTCCTCTTCTGCTTTGCACCCAGGTCAAAGCTCCATGATGTAGGACCAAATCTTAGTTCCCCTGGGTTCCTGGGGGATAGACTTTGGCAGTCCAAAAAAACCCCTGAGGTTTGAGGATGAACTTTAAGCTTGGGGTATAGGAAATGAGCCTGCTCCCGCCGAGCAGGTGTGCTGCTTCTAATGTAGGCAGGCTGGCCGGCCTACCTCCTGTACAAACAAACTTTCACGGGTGCAGCCCTCCCTAGCCTGGTGCCCCTCACCTTTGTGAGCAGGCGACAGCTAGAGCAACAGTGTTCCTGGCCTTGCCATGTCTGTTAAATCAGCCTCGCCTGGGCTGGTACCGTCTCCCTACAAAAAGCCTATCGGCCCATCTGTTTCCTTTGGCTTCTTTCTCTGCTGGCCAAGTCAAGTGCTGCGGACTTACGCTGGCTCCTTGACTCTCCTGTCTGCCGAGGCACTCTCTCTGCCAGGGGCCCGGTGGCTTTCAGCTTGCTGACCCTGTTTCTCTACAGTAACCTGCTCCCTGTCTCCATCTGCTCTAGCAGCTGAGTGAGTAGCCTGTGCAAATACCCCTTTCGCTGCCCAGTTGCTTCATGCCTGAGGGGCTCTGGTCTCCCGGCCGATCCCAGCCACCTGGGAAGGCCCCCGAATGGGGAGCTTTCTCCCTGCAAAACTTGGCCAGGCCAGGCCAGATTGATCTTGATTTCCCATTGTATGCTAATTGATTTTGAAGTGAAGTTATTTCCTACTGAGGGCGTGTGGACGTCTGCTGCCTAAACATCAGGACCTCAGAGGGTTTGGGCAATGAGATAACTTCAGGGTTTAAAAAAAAAAGATCCCTTGTGCCAGGCCTGAGAGAATGCCGTTGTATCAACTTTTGCCTTCGCCCCCCACCCCCGTGGCTGCAGGAGGAACCACTCCAAGTGCCTGGTACATTGCAAAATGGGCGTCAGTCGCTCTGCTTCCACGGTCATAGCCTACGCGATGAAGGAATTTGGCTGGCCCCTGGAGAAAGCCTACAACTACGTGAAGCAAAAACGCAGCATCACACGCCCCAACGCGGGCTTTATGAGGCAGCTGTCTGAGTATGAAGGCATCTTGGACGCCAGGTGGGTGCCTGTCTGCAGAGAATTGGCAGAGCCGAGCTCCAGAAGCCCTGCCGCCCAGCCGGCCGGGGCTGCCGGCCACATCCCAGCCGTGCTCCCGTTTGGCCCAGCGGTGGCTTCCACAGCCAAAATCCTGCCTCTTGGGGTCGGGGGGAGCTGGTTTGAGAAAAACAACGATTGTTTGGGGTTTGATTAGTGGTTTCCAGGAGGGATCTGTGCTTATTGTGTTGGCACGTAAAGCTGTTTTGCAGTTGGAGGGAGCAGGGCACGGCTTCCAATCCAAGGCAGGACTCCGTGTGAGTCTCGGCCCGGGGCTGCCCCGTTTCCTGAGCACCTGCTCTGTGCCAAGCCCGTGCCAGGCTTCACCGCAGGGCAGCTCCAGGGACTGCAGAGGCAGCCCTGGGCCCGCTGCTGACGAGCTGGTAGCTCAGGGGAAGCTCATCAATCTTCCCCCCCACCCCCGCCTCAGTCTCCTCTTCCGAGTTAAGAACTAATCCCCCGATAGGATTGTTGTAAAATTTCCACGAGCACCGTGCAGCTGCTTCGCTAGACCCGGCTCACGGTCAGTGATGTCATAGCTGCTTTGTAATTCTCTACCCACCACCTCCACCCACCCACCCCACCATGAAAAAGGTCTGCAGAGGACAGGGGATCCCCCATTTGTGGGGAGTAAGGAACTGACGCTGGAGGTTAAGGTGTCCCATGTCACACAGCCAGTGGGCGGCCCAGGGATCGGGGGGCACGCCCGGGTCTGTCAGCCTCTGGGGCTCCCGTGCAAGGTGATCCTACCCCCATGGAGGGGTCCCCCAGTGACCCCAGGTGGATCGCTGCTGGACTTAGGGACTCACTTTCCCCCCGTTCCTTTTCTGTTCAATCTGTCCAAGGCCTCGCTGGGTTGTTTCTGCCTGGTGTTGTGAGGAGGCCACAGGCTAAGTCCACCAGCTTCTTGGCCACGTTTGGGGAAGCAACTGGCGGGTCTGGAGAACAGCTCCGGACATCTCTGGACTCCTTCACTGTCAACCAGAGAGCAGCTGGACAGGTGCTCAGGCAGGGCCGAGGGGGACAGCGGGGGAGGAGGAAGGGGCACATTCTGCTCTCGCCTCCGGTAGCCCTTCAGTCATTTGCTGCCATCAGGGGTTTGCAGGCCCACCAGGGGTTGCCAGGCCAGGTTCACAGCAGCACAGCACTGACCTTGAATTATAGCCCCGTCTGCGGGCCCACTTGGCCTTGCACGGAACGTGCACACAGAGCAGACGGCCGTGAATGACCGTGTTGCTCCCTCGCATTGAAGAGCAACAGCAAACCCTTAGTTTGCACGCCCTTCTATGTTTACTTCTTTCTCCTCTTAACCGTCGCCACCCTGGATGTTGGTGATCCTCTGAGGTTAATGGAGGCAACTCACTTACCTGATTTCACTCTGAGCCTCTTTCTTCTTTTTTTTTTTTAACCCTCACGTTTAAGAAATGTGTCATAAAAGTAATAACACAGCATTAGAAGACTTATTTTAAAAACTGACCTGTAATCTCTCTGACCTACACAAATATTTCCAATTTTCTGGCATCTCCCCAGCTTTATTCAGGTGCATTACGTGTTTACATGGTCGCGTTAGTGTGTATAAGTCTTTATCGACTCTCTACTTTGATCCGCGTTACTTCCCTACGACGTAAGTAGGAGAGGATGGGGTTTCTTATTTGACAGATGGGGAAACAGAGACGGAACATCCGTGGCATGACCAGGTTCGCCAGGAGAGCTGGGACACTAGGATCATGATAGGATTCCAGGTCCAGACCCCCTTCCCATGTCTGCGATATCCTTATCACATGACAAAGTTGTTTACGTGATCCCACGTGGGTCATACGTGCGGGATGCCATATGTACGGGAGCCATGATGACTTAGGGTCCTAAGGCTATTTCCGTCATTCTCGAATTTCTTGGGGGTCAATGAACCGAGAGAGGCTTTACCCAGGTGAGCCCCTGGTGTCCACCCGGGCCTTGGACTGCTCCTTGCTTGCTCCCCACCCCCTTCCTCCCAGGACCCTTGGGCACTGGCATCTGCTAGACCTTCCTCTGCTTTCCTTCCCCAGCAAACAACGGCACAACAAGCTGTGGCGCCAGCAGCCTGTGGATGACCCAGCGGGGCCTGGGGACTTCCTGCCGGAGACCCTGGACGGCAGCCCGGAAGCCCAGCCGCCCTGCCTGGATGCCGCCGCCCAGCCTGGGTTCCCGGGCAGCGGGACCCCGGGGGGACCCGCTCTCCCCTGCTGTCTCCAGCGACTCTCAGACCCCCTGTTGCACTGCCCCAGAGACGAGACGGGCGGCTGGGTCCACCTGGAGGATCTGGAGAGGGATGCTCTGCTGGAAGAAGCCGCTCAGCCGGCAGAGGCATCCAAGCCGGCCGGACACGCCCCAGGAGGTCCTGGACTCTGTGAGAAGGAAGTGAAGAAGAAACCAGAGTTTGGGAGCCCCCACGCCCGGGGTGGCGCGTCGCCGCAGGTGGAGGAGATGGAAAGGGAGGAGGCCCCGGGAGCAGGGAAGTGGGGGCAGCCTGTTACTGAGCTCGATAACCTGCTGAATTGGGAAAACCTAAATAACAACAACAGCAAGAGGAGCTGCCCGGACGACTTCGAGGTAGGCCTGGGGCCGCGAGGGGGTGGCGGCACGCACGCCATTTCTGCCCCGGGGGCAGCCCCGCAACAGCTGGCTCTGCCAGCTCAGTGGGTGGCTTTCCGTGCGATTCCGCAGGCCGACGGGGATGGTAGATGACGGAGGACCCGGGACCCCTGGGGAATGGTGACCATCCCCCACGCCCTCTTCACCCCGGTGCCTCATTCACGTCTGAGGCAGAGTTTCAAAGTCTTTCCTTTTTTCTTATGTAAAACATAAAACATATAACTTATGGGAATTTCCTGGCGGTCCGGTGGTTGGGACTCCGCGCTTCCACTGCAGGGGGCCCGGGTTCGATCCCTGGTCAGGGAGTTAAGATCCCGCATGCCACAAGCCATGGCCAAAAAAACCCCACAAAACATATAACTTCTCACTCAGCTTCAGCCTTTACCAGTGTGTGGCTTTTCTTCCTTTCATCTCACCCCCATCCGCGTTCCCATACCCTGGATTCTCCTGAAACAAATCAAATCCCAGATCTGTCGTTTCCATCCCAAACGCTTCCGTTTATAACCTATAACCATAACACCGCTGCCACCTTGAAAAAGCCGACATCATCAAGTATCTAGCCTTGCAACTCAGACTCTAATGCTTAATTAACTCCAGCAGTCCCTCGTAGCTCTCATACTTGGTGGGTTATTTGCAACAGGGCTTTTGCCTCAACCTGCCACTTATTCAGAAAATCAAGAATTCCTCCAGCTTTTTTCCTCCTCCAAGTGGCCCACGCGTGGAGGCTGGTTTCGTGGAGGGACGTCCTCTGTTGCCTGGTCTTGGGTTCTGCCCTCTGCTCTGCTGCTGGCTCGCCCTGGCCCGGGGGCAGGAAGCTTCATTTCCCATGGCCTGACCACCCACCTCCTGGGCCAGCTGTGATTATCTAGTAAGAGCACTGGGGAGGCAGATAGAGGCATCCCCTTGTACAGAGAGTTCGCCATCATCACGTTATAATGCAAACAAAACTGGGAAGTTAAATCTCCCGTACTCCAAATCAGGACCCAGATTCCAAACTGAATAGTAATTACTCTCGAATTTCCCTCACCGCTCACCTTCCCTTTAAAGAGCAAATGCCCATCAAGATAGATGATATAAAACCTCTCTGTCCGGGACAGTGGTACCTCGGTTGGTCCGAGATGACGTAGCTGTGAGTCGTAGAACGGGGACCACGAGAGAAGCCTGGATAAGAAGATAAACGAAGGACCCAGCCTTCCTTTTCTGGCTAGAGCGTGGATGGGTGACATTATCTAGGGAATAGGACCTAGAGACAGGCATCCATTCACTTGTTCAAGTTGTGTTTATTAACTCCGGGGCCAGATTGGTGAGGGGGTACAGCTGTAAGGTAGTTCAACACACGTGGTCTTACAGGGAGATGGGAGGTAAACATGTGAGGATGTAACAAAGAAAACATACAGGTGGTGCTCGGTGTGGTGACACGGGTAAGGTGGGAGGGGAGGGGATGAGACGGAGCTGGCCACGCAGAGCGCCAGGAGGAGAATCTTCTGGGCCCCAGGCCCCTGAGGGTGGAAAGCTTGGCCTGGTTGAGGGGCAGTGGCTGAGGTGCAGTTGGACAGGTGGCCGGGCACGCGGGGCCTTGGGGCATGATGGCAGGGCCCTGCGCGTTTCCTCCCAGGGCGCTGGGAAGCACGGGAGGGCGTTAGGTGGTTGGTGACAAGGCCCCTCTGGCAGTGGTCTGCAGGCAGACTGATGGGGTGAGATGGAAGCCAGGCATCTGAGATGGGGGTGGCTCAGAGGATGGGACAGGGACCGAAATGCACAGCTTAGGAGGCATCCAGAGACAGGGCCCTCGGCGGGCAGGGACTGTCTTGCTCGTAGCCCCTGCGCCCAGTGCAAGGCCTGGCACAGGACAGGCATGCTCCCTAAGTAGGAGCTGGATGAATGAATTCCCTCCTCCCTTGTCTCCCCATGAGCTCTGAAAGGTGCTCTCAAATCTCCCACCGTGGTAGATTTTACCACGGTTTAGGGCGTTAGATTCTAAAGGTTTTAGAAGAAACAAACATATAGACACTTTGGTCAAAGCTTCAGGAAAATGTCTGTGTTCGGTCCTCACCACAGGGGTGACCAAGCCCCACTGGTCGACCTGGAAACCAGCCCCAGGAATCCTGACCAGGATAGGGTCCTGCAGGAGACCTGGCCCCCTACCTGCCCCACCAGGCGCTCTCCACACACCCCCTTGCAAGCCTCCAGGAATCGGGGCTGGGTTTCCCATTGACTCCTCCAGGACTGCACCGGACCCTGACTCCTTAGCTTGCGGGGACCTCGGGCTGCCACACAGGATGGTACGAGTCCCTGACACGACAGAGGGGCAGGGAGAAACCTTTTGCCAAGAAGGCTTGGTTTTCAGCCGCCTCAGGAGTCTCACAGTGAAACAACTCGCGAGGGAAGAGTCACCCTCTTGCCTCCACTTCTGCGGTTCTCGGCTGGGTCTTGGCCCAGAAGAGCAGCCCTGGTGCCTCTCGATGGGCGCATGAGGGAGTGAGGGCTTGGCCTGCCCATCAGGAGGAGGGCGGGATGGAGAGGCCCACGTTGAGCTCGCGGAGACCCCCAGTGGCCAGAGGCAGGGCGTCTCTTGGGAAGTGGTGCAAACGTGCTTTCCACTGGTGTATGAAACCCACCTCTGCCTGGCTCCCTCCTCGGGGTCGTGGGCACCCGTGTTTGGGTCTGTGTTAGAGTCTTTCCCGAACCGTTTCTGCCTTTGGCCACCTCTCTGTGAAGAGCACAGTTAGATGGTCGTTCCTTGGAGCCATGCTCTGTTGTGCCAGACAGGAAGGGTGCTGTCTTCAGGCTGCAGACTCCAGACCCTTTCTGAAAGGGAGACACAGCTACTGTGCCAGAAATGTTATTTCACTAATTCTCACGAGGCCGTGAGGGGAAAGGGTGAGGCGAAGTCACTCTGGTTTCCAGGCAACACCAGAGGCTGGAGAGGGTCATTTGGTGCAAGTGGCGGAGGCGGAGTTGAGAAGGGAGGCCCTTGGAGGCCCTGCTCCTGGCCATGTGGCCGAAGGTTTGCCCAGGACTGTGGGCTCGTAGCTTCCGGGAAGTTCGATTCAGTGTCTCTAACTCATCCCTAACCTGCATTAGTCACGGTCATATGGGTTCCGAGAGGGCCGTATCCCAGCCCCAGCTGAAGTGAGAGCACTGCCAGCCCAGTGCCTGCCCCAGCCCTGCCTCCTGCCCTTCTTGTACTTTTCGGGCTTAGGCTTGCGTCACGCCCTCACGATGTTCTTGTCCTTTTCAGCACGATGCGATCTTTGGGATCCTTAACAAAGTGAAGCCTTCCTACAAATCCTGCGCCGACTGCATGTACCCTGCAGCCAGCGGGATTCCCGAGGCCTTCGGGGAGCGATGCAAGAACCCCGGTGCTCCCGCCATCTGCACCCAGCCCACCTTCCTGCCCCACCTCACGTCTTCCCCCATGGCCCATGTGGCCAGCAGGTCCCGAGCTTCAGAGAAACTGTCCTCTGGCCCAACCGAAACTCCCCCATGCCTACCACCAGCAGGCTCGAGGAGGCCAGACATCAGTAGCCCTGGGGCTGGGGCTGCCCCAGAGCTACCAGCCAGCCTTTTGGAACCTTCCAGAGAGACTCACAAAGTCCTACCAAAGTCCCTCCTTTTGAAGAATTCTCACTGTGTTAAGAACGCTCCCAACATGGAAGTAGCGAAGGACGACTCGCCACCCAAGAAAGATCCGAAGCCAGCCAAGGACCTGCGGCTCCTGTTCAGTAAAGAAGCCGAGAAACCGACAGCCAACAGCTACCTGATGCAGCACCAGGAATCCATCATCCAGCTGCAGAAGGCGGGCTTGGTCCGTAAGCACACCAAAGAACTAGAGAGGCTGAAGGGCACGCCGGCCGACCTGGCGGCCCCCTGCAAGGATGGCCCCGCCAGCAGGCTGGAGGCCAGCATCCCCGAGGAGAGCCAGGACCCGGCTCTGCCTGGCCAGGCCCAGGGCGACGAGAAGCCCGAGGCTGGCCCCCCTCCGTCAGAAGGAGCCCCACTGAAGAGCCCCCCGCTCTTCCTCTGCCGCCCAGACCACACCAGTCACTTCTCAAAAGACTTCCTGAAGACCATCTGCTACACCCCGACCTCATCCTCCATGAGCTCCAACCTGACCCGGAGCTCAAGCAGCGACAGCATCCACAGCGTCCGTGGGAAGCCCGGGTTGGTGAAGCAGCGCACGCAGGAGATCGAGACCCGGCTCCGGCTGGCAGGCCTCACGGTCTCATCCCCGCTCAAGCGCTCTCACTCCCTCGCCAAGCTCGGGAGCCTCAACCTCTCGACGGAGGACCTGTCCAGCGAGGCCGACGTGTCCACCGTGGCTGACTCCCAGGATGCCAGGTTGAGCGAGTCTTCCTTCTTGCATGAGCCCCCAGTGGCCCCCAGGAACCCAACTGCAACCTCTAAACCATCAGGGAAATCTGCCCCGGAAAACTTGAAAAGCCCTTCGTGGATGAGCAAAAGCTGACCCGCCTTTGGCTGCGTTTGGACTTCTGTGATCCCTCCTTTAGTTTCACTGTGGATTTTGGTCCACCCCTTCTGTCTTGATTTCCTTTAAATAATTGGCGTTATCCTTACTTTTCCTCCCCTCTTGCGGCAAAGGGGAGAAGAAGAAACAACAATACCTAACATACAGCACAAGAAGAAAGGGGAGCATTGGTTTTGTGGCCTGGGGGAACCAGCAGCTGTTGACCAGTAGACTCTGACTCCAAATGAGGTGTTCCGGGTGCTTCTCGTGTGTTAAGAAGAGCATTTATACAGCGATGCACACACATCAAAAATCCTCTGGCACGGGGCTTCCCTGGTGATGCAGTGGTTAAGAATCCGCCTGCCAATGCAGGGGACATGGGTTCGAGCCCTGGCCCGGGAAGACCCCACATGCCGCAGAGCAACTAAGCCCATGCGCCACAACTACCGAGCCTGCGCTCATAGAGCTCATGCTCCGCAACAAGAGAAGCCACGACAATAAGAAGCCCGCTCACCGCAGTGAAGAGCAGCCCCTGCTCGCCACAACTAGAGAAATCCCGTGCACAGCAATGAAGACCCAACACAGCCAAAAAACAAAACATCCTCCGGCACAACCTGCAAAGGAATAGCTGTGGCATTGGCATCGCCACCACGGCACGTGTCCTAGCTCATTCAGGCCCTTCTGGGAAAACTCCTGGATGGCAATAGAAGTCCTACCTCTGATCCTGCTCTGCTTTTTATTTTTAAACTCCAATAATGACCAAGGCTCATTCCAGGGAAAAATGCTGTGTCAGAAAAGATTTTTCCGAAAGAGAACTTTCTGTTGTGCGGTTGTCAGGACCCCAAAAAGTATTAAGACTTTTAAGGTGCCTGCGCCAAACACTGCTAGTTAAAGTGACACGAAGGCGCGAATGCTGCTGTCAGACCAACTCCAGGGTGAGTGGAGGTCCTCTGAGCAGCTGACTTGCCTGTCCTGGCGTGTTGTCACAGCTGAGTGACGTGTGTCTGGCCGGCCCTGGGGTGAGGTGGGGGGAAATGTGTGTGGGGTCCTCAGTTTGTTGCTAAAGGTCAGTCTTCAGTTGTCCCCCATCTGGGGAGAAGGACCCACAAAGTATCATTGAGTCTTATCTGCTGCGGAACCCAATGCGGTCGTGTTGTGGTTCGTAGGGACTCAAGTGTCTGGCGGGGCCGGGGATTCTGAGATGTGGGTCACCCCATCAGGAGCCCCAGCACTCAGGTTCATTAGGTCACATGTACTCAAGTTTGGGGAGGAAAAGGAGATTTCAGCAGTGAGGAACGCTCAGTCACTCTCAAGGAACAACTTAGCAGCAGCTTCTCTGAGAAGTGGGACTGGGGGAAGCCCTGGCAGGTGTTTACAGTCGCCCCTTCCTGCGGTGAGAACGCTGCTTCCTGTTTCTCTGCGGCTCTTCCCAGCGGGCAGGACAGCGCGTGGTCCTGAGTGTCTCTGGGAGTAGTCCCTCTAAGGATCTTGAGTGGAGGGACTCCTCTGATGTTGGCCAGCAAGACAGGATGTTAAAATATTTTGGAGAGAGAGAAGAGGTCTGTTAAGTTTAATTCAGGGGTCAGCAAACCATGGTGTATGGCCCCAAGAGCTAAGATTGTTTTTTATAGTTTTAAGGGATTATCAAAAAATTAACAAATAGGCGACAGAGACCATGTAGCCTGCAAAGCCTAAGCTAGCTACCTTGCAATCAGGCTCTTTATAGAAAACTTTCGCCGAGCCCTGGCCAGTGAAACTAGAAATCCTTCAAGGGCCAGCCAAATTCCAAACGTGGGCAAATGAGTCGCCCTCTTACGTTGGTCAGAACCGGGCCCCCAAGAGTAGCCCAGGCAGGGTCTGCAGGAAGAAGGCTAGTCCGTATTTCAGCTAGTGGGTAGAGTTTTTGCAAAAACCCTCTCTCCGGAAACTTTTTCTCCCTGGCCTTATTTTTTTTATTAAAGTATACGTTATTTTACCCTATCGGAATTTGTTTTCCCACCACTGTCAACTGAAATCAGCTTAAAAGGTGATTATCCACTTATTGCGGAAAACCCAGTTGGGTTTCCTCCTCTCTCTCAGCCAACAAGAGCACAGTCTCAAAAAATATATATCAGGTTCAGTGTTTTGCCAAATTAAATTTCATGTGGTGGATCAACTTTTGTGTCAAAATAATTCTTTAAATTTGATGATGCCAGGCTTATGTTGGTTTTTTAACCATGCCTGGGTATGATACAGTTTTGAAGACCTTAATTTTGAAAGCCATAATTTTTCTTATCCAGTTAAAGGGTGGGAGGAGGATTACGAATCCTAGTGGGTCTCTGGCTTTTGGCAAAGTTATCCATTCGCTGTCGGGAGCTAGTCTATCGGTATCTAAACAGACCAGGGCCCAGGTGCCCATCATCAGAGCAAAATGAAGCGTTCTTGATGGATGACACTGTAGCCTGGAGAAGAGGGTGAAGGTTTTTCTCTGAGACCCAGATCCGTGGCACACAAACATATGGCAGATTGCTATTTTAAATGTTACACTAACAAGACAAGAGCATTCTCCCAGGCTTGGAGACACCTTGGCAAAGACAGATTCATACCGGTCTCTGAAAAGCCATAAGCTGTGCCACATCTTGACCAGTGCTTCACCTGTAAGCTTAGCAGATGGGGGAGATTCCGAATGGAGGCGGCAGTGGTTTATGCTGTGAAAGTCACTGATTTTGGTGACCGCCATCTTCGTGGAATGCCTTTGTCGAACTAGGCGAGAACAAAAGCTTTCTAAATAAGCTCAGTACCCTGTGAATTCAGCTGCATTTCCTCTTCCACCTCACCTTTCCCTCCCTTGCACTCTCATTCACGTGGCATGCCAAAATTAGAGCGAACTCCTCTAGGTCTTCCTCTTGCAACGATACAGGGAGGTCTTCTCATCAAGTTTTGTTGTGTCGAAGAGGAGAGGTGGTCACAGAGAGAGGGGAAACCGTGCTGCCCTTGATCGGGACCTGACCTTGCCGATTTCCATGTCTTTGCCTTGTAGCTACTTCAGGGCCTTGGAGCAATGTGCATCATTCCATGAACTTCTTGACAACAAGGTTCTTGCCCCCAGTCTCACCTGCCTCCTTGGTCTCAGTGCAGGCACCAGTGCCAACCTCTCGGCTGCCAGACAGCTCTCTGCTGGGTGGAGGTACCCGGTCCATCAGGTTACTCTGTCCAGCTCCCTTCCGCTCCATCCCACCCTCTCCAGCTAAAAAGCATTCCAGCCCTTTCTAAAGCCTTTTCCCTCCTGGATAAGCCCAGAGGATGCCTGGGATGGAACCAAAGAGGCCATAGAATTAACATCGTCAGGACAACCCTGTACGTCGGCACTGTGCACAGGTGCCATCCCAGGAGGCTGATGGATCCCCTGCTCCCCTGGGGCCCCTGCTCCCTAGTGAGAGGAAATGCTGTCATGTAGTCGAGAGCATGTGAGTAACCTCACCCAAAGTGTCCGAAGAGCGACTTGCTGTCTGTTGGCTGGAAACGCTTGGTGCCAGAACACATTTCCCAGAACCCTGCTCTGGCTCGCCACCCGGCAGGGCTTCCCCGCACCCACGCGGCCGGCACAGTGACGGCCGCCCCTTCACCTCCAGCAGGGGAGCCGGGTGGGCAGGAGATTTGTGACATCGGGACAGCGTGGTGCAGGGTCACCGGCTGCTGTCCCACCCCCAGCGTCTCCCCGACGCGGCATGCCAAATGAAGGTACTTATGGACCCCCGTGCTCAGCTCCTTGGTCTTTTTATTGTCTGCTCTGCAGTTGAATACGTATGTGTATGAGTTCACTCTGCACAAATATATATGTTTGAATCTGTCTGTCTGTCACTTGAATCAGAGCATCACGTGCATCCCTCCTCCCTCACGTACACGCACACTGTGTCTCCCGAGCTATGAAGCGGGTCACCTTGAACGGTCTGGAGCGATGCAGTGCGGTGCTGCCCTCGGTGGGTGTGGATGTGACCACCTCGTCTTTGTCTTGCAGTGGGTGCTGCAGCCCCGGCCTGTGTCGGTCTCTTAGCAGGAGTCTTAGAACCAGACCCCCGGTCCTCTGCTGTCCTTTCTGTCGGCCGCGCTGCTCACGGAGATGGCCGCTCCCTCCCTGCCTCCTTCCTGACACTGTAATTATTGTTTTACAATCGAGTGCCTTAATAATAGTTTACAAATACTGTGTATTTATGGGCAACCGTTAAGCTCTCGCCTTCTGTGATTGGATACTTTGCCTCGTCAGTGGTGGTTGGCGTTTTAGGGCTGGAGCTTGCCTGCCCCGTGCTTGTGCTGGTCTGTTGTGCGGCTTCTCGCACCTGCCCGCAGCCAGGCCAGGAGCGTTGCTAGAAACGGCGCTGGCGGTTTCTGTTGGCAAGGCGGGCACGGTTTCAGCCACGGCCCGGTCCGTAGTAAGCGAGGAAAGAACGGGATTGGTTTGCTGGCCAGCCGGGGGGGTGGCGCAGTCCAGGCTCCCCCTGGACCGCAGCCCAGCCCCTCCCCTGTTCCCCCCATCACGCAACTGTACTCCTGTTCAGTAGAGTTTTTATTACCACCTAGGCCCCCCCTGTTTCCCTCTCTACTGGTATCCTGAGCTCTTTGCAACAAAATGCAGGTACAGACCGCCATCAGGAGCTCCACAAGATGGGCTGCCCTTTGGTTGTCAGAAGCCGCCAGTGGGTTCCAGTGTGTTGTGTTATGATATCAATGATTTTTTTTATTATATTGTTTTTCTTCTTGTTTTTTTTTACATTATATATTTAAAAGGCAGTATCTTTTGTACTGTGAATTTGCAGTAGAAGACGCAGAATGCACTTTTTTTTTTTTTTTACTTCTGTTGGTGTGTACTGTATATAGTCTGTGTGCTTCCTGTGATGAAAATAAACTTTTTCTTTATAAATGCCTGATGACCTCCAAACTTGTGCCAAAAGGCAACAGCCTCTTCCGCCCTTGCCAGGAGACTCGGTTGCAGCTTCGTCATCACGATGGCCGGTCTTGACTGGGCATCTGCCATATGCTGGGCCCCATGCTAAACACCTGGACAGGTGAGACCAAAGAAAGAACCAGGGGAAGAAGGTCAGCTCCTGCAGGAATCATCCTTTTTCCTCCTGATCTCGCCAGTAAGGAAGAGCAGGC